TGGCGATCGATGAATTAACTTTATTGCACTGGATGTTACAGCATTGGTGGGGTCGTGGGTATTGCAGTCCGAGGCCTCCCAAGCTCTTCAGGAGGTGGTGCAGTTCGACAAACCCTTTTTCATTGTATGCTTCAACCACACAATCACGGGGGTCGTGCTGCCCTTGGTAATCGGCTACCATTGGATGTTTGGAGAGATAGAAGACCGCTATGCGGGGCTGGATGTTATTGGGATATTGACACGCCACTCTGTGATTCCGTTCGATAAACTCTGTCGCATTTCGGCTTGGCTGAGCCTATTTTACCTATTGGCAGACTACTTTTGGTACGCGGCATTGACGAACGTCAGTGTAGCGGCGGGGACGGCTATCTTCAACTGCTCGCCGTTGTTTGTGTACTGTTTTTCGATCTGTTTCCTGCATGAACGACCGTCGTTTGGCAAGATTTGTGGCGTGTTCACGTCGTTTGTGGGGGTCACGATGGTCGTCATGTTCCAAGATGGAAGCGACGTCGACGCGATTGCTGGTACCGGTTTACTGGCTGGTTTGCTCGTGGTGATATCGGCTGCTCTGTATGGAGGATATGAGGTTGCGTTGCGACTTGCTGTTGGGGAGGATATTACGGACACGTCGACGTTGTTGACGATGACGGGGTTGACTGGATTGTTTACTGTCCCCCTGTGGCTCGTTGGAAGTTTCGCTTTGGTGTACAGTCCGTTCTCGTCGCTACAGGAGCCGCTCGGTTTCCCAGTTACTGGTAATGGCGTGTTCTTGTTGCTATTGAGTGGCGTGATGGCAGTTGTTTTTAATGTGTTCTTGCCGCTGTCGTTGTGCTGGACGTCGCCATTGGAAACGAGCGTGGGAGTGATGCTTACGATTCCTCTTTCTGGTGTGATCGACACTTTGTTCCACGGAACAAGCTTCTCGTGGGAGTGTATTGTCGGGTCTGCTTTAGTGATGGGGGGCTTTGGAATTCTAGAATATTGCACTAGCCCGCCAGAAGTGCCGGACAACCATGGTGACCTGGTGTAAAAAACTTCTACAGCAGAGAGCTCAGCCTGGGTGGCAGAGTTGAGCTATATGTACCCTTGAATACGAGTAAACGCGAGGCTGCATTTCGTTTGTTACCCAGTGCAAACGGGTGACTTATTGCTACCATTCTAAAAAGAAAAATTAATAAAAAGAAAAGAAACTTGGCTTGGTCGTTTGTGGCTTGGTGGCTTCTTCATTCGCTGCTACATCTCTCTCCGTTAACCAGACTCACCAACAGTCGTGCAGCTTAAGCGTGACCAGGTGACTTCACTTCTCTGCGGCACACAGGGCAGCTTGGTAGTGTGCCATTCCTGTCACACCACCCTGACCAATTGTCAATGCAAGCACAGTGAAAGCTATGTCCACACCCGATCGTAATAACGAAGCCGCTGGGTGTTGAGCCAATCTCCGACCAGCAGATCGTGCACTTACTGGTTCTGCTCAATCCGGCAGGCTGCGCAGTTGACGATAGCATCACCGTTGTCGACTCATCCCTCGGTTTGGCTACGATCAATAGGCTCTCCCACTCGACAGAGCCAATCATTTTGTCTGCATTAAAGCGATGGTACTTACGGCCACAAGCATCCTTCCACTGCGAAATGATCGAATACCCATCGCGCTCTTGCGTGCCGTCAAATTTCCAGAAACAACCGTAAAACCCACACGTTCGAGGCTTTACCTTTTTGTGACACATCGGGCACTGAATGTCGCCATCTCGCATGAGATTGAATGCTTCATAGCGCTTGGGGTGGATTATCATTTGTTGAAATGCCACGCATTCCACGTTCTTGCACCGTCCCTCAATGTTCAGTCCTCTGTAGACACTACGCCATGCGGGAGCATTGGGTGAAAACTCTTGCACCACCAGAATTGAGTCGTCCGAGACATCTGCAAACATTCGCGACGGACCTCCGCCGCCACGCATCATCCGAACCAAGTGCACTACACTATGGTTCTCGATTCCGTAAGAACAGAGTTGGAGATGATCTTCGAGCTGCTTGCCTTCGAAGACAAGACTCTGCAAGTCTACAGCAGTGTTTTCCTTGTGCCGAATTCTGCACTTGAGATAAGCAACAGCATCTGTGGTCTCACAGTGAAGCAGGATACTCGTGTTCGTAAGCGTCTTAATAAAGATCGCGATACTGGTTCTGGGCTCCCGTCCTGGGCAGAGTCTCATATTCACTACAAACCGTGGGTTGCTACGCAACTCGGGAATAAGCTCTTCCAACGTACGGTCACGACGCACCCGTGTTCCGTACATAAGGAAGCTTTCGACTTTACGAAAGCTTCTTTCAAACGGGAGCTTGGCGTTAATTTTGGCATTCAGAACTGGGAACAGATCCCCAACTCGCGCGCCTTTCAGGGGCAACTCTCACATGTGCATCTCGACAACCCCCTTTATCCCGGGCTCATGGACATCCTTCCACAGAATCGGAAACGCGGTGGTCAACATGGTTACTTTTCTGACAGATCGAAGACCAAGTTTCTGAAGTGAGCTACGTCAAGTGAATCGAAGAATGATCGAATCATTTCAACTTCACTGGACTTGAAGTTGAATGATACAGTTGGTATTGAAATTTAGGATAAATCCGAGAAAAAGCTGCTAACTACACCAAAGGATAGCTGGCCATGATTATAACGGTGATTTATGCCAACTTGCAGAAGCTCCCACTGTTGCCGAATAGCTAAAAAGATTGACCAGCAAATCGCCAAGCTCTGAAGAATCACGATCTGTGGTTGGCTTAGCTGCAGCCAAAGTTTGTCTGACTTGGATAACAATGACAATACTTATACAGTAAATTCCTGCACTGGAATTTGTTACCACTTGCGTGTTTCCTCGGGATTGACGGATAAACCATCTTGTGGCTCAAATGCCGCAATTTTTTTTTTTTTTTACTAAAACTGAAAAGTTAATCAAATGGAACGTGGTTCGGTCGGACTATGGTTTCTGCATTTGGCCCTCGCTTCGATCTCCATTACCCACATCACCTCAAATTCTGCCGCTCAATAGATGCGCCCAGGTGCGTGCACTTCTCCGCGACACACAGGGCAGCTCGGTAGGAAGTCATTCTTTGTACACCATTGCGTACAAGTGTCACTGCAAGCACGGTGGAAACTGTGGCCACAGCCAAACGTGACGATATAACCACTGGCTGTAGAGCCGAAATCCGACCAGCAGATCGTGCACTTGTCGTTTCTGGCAGGCGGCGCAGCTGGCGATAGTTTTATCGCCATCGACCCTTCTCGCGGTTTGGCAACAATCAAAAGGCTCTCCCATTCAACAGAGCCGTAGTTTTTGCCTGCCTTAAAGAGATGGTATTTCTCTCCATACGCATCCTTCCACTGCGAGATGATCGTAAAACCATCTTGTTGCTGCACACCCTCAAACTTCCACGCACAGTTGTAAAAGCCACAGGTGCGAGGCTTCACATTCGTGAAACACATCGGGCACTGAATATCATCCTGCATAAGGTTGAATGGCTCGAAGCGTTTGGGGTGGACAATCGTTTTCTGATATGCCTCACAGCTAACATTCTTGCACCTTCCTTCGATGTTAAGTCCTTCGTATACGGTCAGCCATTCGGGGCCATCGTCTGCAAAGTCTAGCTCCGTCAGGAGCGAGTCGTTTGACACATCTGCAAAGGTTCGCGACCGAGCTCCGCCACCACGCATCAGCCGGACCAAATGCACTTGACTCTTGTTCTTGATTCCATACGAATACAGCGAGAGATGATCTTCTAGCTCCTTGCCTGCGAAGATGAGACGCTGGTACTCTGGGTCAAGGTTTTCTTTCTCTCGAATTCGAATCTTGATATCGCCGACCGTATCGGTGGAATCGCAGTGAACCAGGATATTCTGGTTCGTAAGTGTCTTTATGAAGATCGTGATATTGGTTCTGGGCGCTCTTTTTGGGTAGGATCTCATATTCGCAACAAAACGGTGGCTGCTACCCAACTTTGGAATGAGCGCTTCCAGGTTATGCCCTCGACTCAGACGTTGTCCGAAAAGAAGGAAGCTCTCCACTTCGCGGAAATTTCGGCCTGGGAACTTGGCGTTGATCTTTGTGTTGAGAACCGGGAACAAATCTCCAACTTGCGCGCCTCTTAGAGGTAAGTCGGACATATGCACCTCGATAATCCCCTTGATGCCGCGTTCGTGGACATCCTTCCACAGGATCGGAAACGCGAGGGTTGACATGACTTCTTGTTTGCCAAGGAAAATCTCGAATGAGGAGGTCTTGGAAATGAGCCGAGAATGGTCGACATGCATCAACGTCGTTTCTCTTTAACTAGACTTGCAGTTCGACACTACAGTTGACGTTTTCAAAAGAAAACGAAAAGCCTGGGAACGGTTTTTATAAAGGATGAATATACGATTGCTTAGTTGCCGCAGTTATCTTCTTGTGACCGTTAACCCTCCTTGCTATTGCGTTAGTGTCGGTGGAATTTGCTCTGGTTTCCGACACACCAGACAAGTTGGCAACGAGTTGTTATTGCTGCGCCAATACAACCACTTGCAGAAGCAGCTTCTGTGGAATTTGTCCACAGGGCTGTATATGTCAGGAATGCCGTCAATGTCTTGAATTCGAAGCTTCAGATCAACAATAGTATCTCTCTGAAGCCATGGAACACGAGTCTTTTATCCGACAGCGTCTCGATCACGACCACCTCGTTAGGAACATCGTTCGGTTGAACTTGCAGCGATGCAGCGAGTCGTGGATCGCAGCCCGCTAGCTCTGGAATAATGTTTTCAAGCCTGCGATCTCTAGTCAATCGAGTGCCGTAAAGAAATATATCCTCCAGTTTACGAGAGAAACCTTGAAGTTTTCTGTTGAGGACAGCGACAAGATCACCTATTGTGGGGTCTTTGAATTCATGCTGCGGCATATCGGAGTCGATTATTTTCACTATACCTCTCAAACCGCGCCGGTGGGCATCCCTCCACAATACTGGAAGAACAATTGCCATCTGAGCTCTGTTGCATTGTTCGGTAAGCAGAGAACTGGGCACATGTATCTTTGAAATTCTGATCACACCGTTGGTGCTATGTCTAGTCCCATACTGGCACCCAGTTGCTGGATACCAACGAATGAAGGGCTCACAGAATCTGGTTTTTTTTTTTAACAAGTTTTTTTTTTCCTTATATGTGGCTGTTGTTGTACCGTGTTCGCCCAACACGGCATTTTTTCTTCCCCACCCTGAAAGTTTCGTCGAATCAGGTCGCAGCTGCTTCGCATTACCTTTTAAAGGTCCTTCCACCTTACATTTGTATTCTCATCGCGATTACTCCAATTCATGAATTGCATATATATTCATTGTAGCAGTCTGTACACGCAAACATTCGCGCGACATTTTGTCCAAACGTTGCATTTGACACGCACTACACAACACAACCGTCCGTCATGACGCAAGTTACTGACGCTCACCCCGCCCCGCACGAGCTCACCAAGCTGCTCTCACCGGACGAAATCCCCACAGACTCCAGACACAACCTCCCAAAACACGCGGGCCTTATCGCCCTCGGAGGTGACTATACAAGCAACTTTTTGACAAATTGACACATGGCTAACTCGAATTTTACTTACCAGCCCTGATCTGGTCGTGGGTGCTGCAAGCTGAAGCTTCCCAAGGTCTTCAGGTCACACAGCTATAGCTGCACATTCAGGTGACTGGCATTTCATTGACTGACTGAGTTTTACGTGGCTATTTGTTATAGGCAATCGAGTTCAACAAACCGTTTTTCATCGTGTGCTTCAACCACACGGCGCCGGTACTCGTTAACTGCACTTTGATGAAGAATTCTGATCCGCGTGCTAATACTTGACGGGTTAATATTGCAGGTATTGCTACTCCCATTCCTGATCGGCTACTTTTGGCTTCGAGGAGAAGAGATTCGCCTAGATTTTGTTGGGGTGCTTGGACGACATTCGGTGATTCCCCTGTCAAAACTCTGGAGGATTGCGGTGTTTCTCAGTGTTTTCTACGCCGTCACCGACTACTTCTGGTATGCGGCGCTGGCCAACGTGAGCGTGGCGGCTGGAACCGCCATTTTCAACTGCTCGCCGCTGTTTGTGTACTGCTTCTCGATCTGCTTTCTGCACGAGCAACCGTCGTTCGGCAAATTATGCGGCGTTTTCACGTCGTTTGTTGGAGTCGCACTCGTGGTCGTGTTTCAGGATGGCAATGATCTGGATGCGATTGCAAGCACGGGAACTGTGGCAGGGCTGATGGTGGTGCTATCAGCGGCGCTGTACGGAGGCTACGAAGTCGCAATTCGTCTGGTAGTGGGCGAGGATATCACGGACACAACAACATTGTTGATCATGACTGGACTTTCCGGGCTATTTACTATTCCGCTCTGGATTGCGGGTAGTTTGATGCTAGCCTACAGTCCATTCGAAGTCTTGTACGAACCGCTGGGACTGCCATACAGCCCACATGGGCTGGTTTTGATGCTGGCTTGTGGTTTGATGGCTATCATATTCTGCATTTCGCTTACGCTATCGCTATGCTGGACGTCTCCGTTGGAGACGAGTGTCGGGTGCATGCTCACGATCCCGTTGTCGAGAATTATCGACACTGTGATACACCACACCTCATTTTCGTGGGAATGTATCGCTGGGTCAGCTTTCGTGATGACGGGTTTTGGGATCCTAGAATATTGCAGCTCTAAAGACACATCACTACAGTCAGATCCTAACAAAATTGAGCATTCAGGCGCACTCGCCTAAGAAGTTATGGAGTAAACTCGCAAATATGCAGTAACGTTCAATATGTGAAAGTTGCCCGCCTTCCTACCTTTGGCTCGAACCCTGAACGGACTAGAAGTTCACCAGAGTAGAATATAGTCATCTTGGCTGTTACTCGTAAAATATTACTTCGAAGTACTTAGTAGTTGTGTCTGCATTGTGTTTGAGTAGAGGCTGCCCTACACAAGATAGAAAACGTAGCCTACCAATATGAAACTTTTGTATTTGTTGATACTTTGAAATGCAACGTAGTATGTATCTGAAGTTATTGTTGCGAGACTGTAGCCTTCCTCTTTCACGAGGTGTATGCTCAATTACGAAGCTTCTTCTTTTCTATCACCGACGTCGCCGCTATCGCCTCTTGTTCCTCGTAAAGAGATATTCAGAGGTATTGAAATTCTTTAAGCCATTTTATCCCACGCCGATTTAGAGGCAACTCGAACTGAAGTTGGTATTCTACAAAAGGCTGTGGAAGTGATTAAATCACCGCTGTGAGATTTTAACCGTCAAAGACGCTCATACGTGTAAGAGAATTAGAGTAACACACGTAACAGCAAGATCAGGGGCATTCTCAATTTCTCGTTATACTACTACCGCGTCTGCTCAAGCACGGGAATACGGGATGCCATGTTTTTTGTTGTATAGATTGCGATAGGTAACGAATTTGTTGAGGTGTGGACTGTTGTAAGGGTGCGCGGCCTGAATGCCCATAATGCGGTAAACGTCATCAGGCTTCTTGTCTGCTCTCAACCAGATTTTGTAGAGATCATCCAGGTCTTTCCCTTGCTCGGTCCAACAATTGAAGATATCAGCCTCCTTCTTTCCAAGTATAACCGAGAACTTATACTTGAGGTAATTGATCAGGTCCTTGGACTTCCCACTATTCATCAGTTGTTTTAGCTTCGACACGCCTGGAATGCTACTAAGAGACAGCCTCTCTTCATCGCCCACAGCATCGATCTCAACGGCGGTAGCAACTGACCGCAATGATCTGACGACGTTCTTATCATCGTCAGCCCTTATCGGGTGGGTACGAGTAGCTCCCATTTTACTCGACAGAATGAGTTGGTCTTCGTCCTTGGCGACGGTTAAAACAGCATTGGAGCTAGCGATAAAAGCTAAGACGAGTAACAACGTCGTGTAAGCGAAACGCATGGCGATCTTGGTTCTTGTAGACTTGGGTCGAGAAGGGTAAGTCGCAAAGTGAATCACTTAGAAGCGTGGCGCCAACCAAGCAAGTCGCTTGGACTCGGACAGGTAGAACCAGCGAGTTTCCTGCGCTGTGCATTACTGATGCTGATCACCGCCCAGATGGACACCAGCAATGCTGCTGGGTCAGCATCCAAAAGGATTCTCATCTAGCGAATGTACAGCTGCTCATCATAGCACAGATTCTGATCATTCAATTCTTTTTTTATCGAATAGATCAACAGTTTTTAAAGCTATTTTCTTAAGTCGCAATTCCTGCAACGACCCGCAGGGTCTTTACGGGGCCCCAACTAAGGATATGTCGTATGGCTATGAAATTTAATACACAACGCGACGTCACTAGAGTATATGAAATTGCGAAGTTTGAGCTTGAGTTCAATTATAGATCGCCAGCAGCGAGCATACCAGGTTCTCGGTTGGAATACCTGCTAGACTATTTTTTTTTTCGGACTTCCAGATGGGAAGAGCGGCAAGAGATGGATCAAATACTGATCTCTTTCGCCCATACTATGTCACGATTGGAAACGTCTTTTCTTTCAGAAGCGCTTGCCTTGTCAATCCTTGTAGATGTCAACAACCCATTGCGACCTTCCACTCAAGTATATGAAATGAGAGCTAAGCCTAATCGTCTCAGCCTGCGTTGACCTTTGCGATACCGATAATGAGTAATAAGACCTACGTTAATAAAGACCGGATCCATCAAAAATTGCTCACCGTACAAAATAAGTCAAAGTGGCGGGTTCTTACAGGCATTGCGAGTTAAAGCATCTCTACAAAAGCAAATAGCAAAAGGCCAATTGAACTCACGCGTCCCCCCCCGGTACCAGTTAATCAAAAGCAAATCAACACCTTTACTTCGACTGATTCATGATAGCTTGGAGCAAATGCGCGGATTGATACGCACCGGTGGAAATGCTCGTACAGTAGATCAACCTTTTGTTTTCCGTGATCAACGTTTGTTTCACTTAACTTTAAAATCTGTAAAAGCAAGCTTCAAGACCTAGTGCTACAAAGAACGAATAAACCGTAGTCAACACGAATTGTTCAAAGGAAGTGCCTTGGCTCCTGCACACTGTTGGGTGTGTGTGTACCGGCTAGAATACCTTACTGCAAGTCAACAAAGGTATGTACGGTTAGCTGCACATGGCCCCGTCGAAACCGTACGTAGCCTTAGTGTAAAGTACAGTCTTCCGATCTTCTTAATAAAACAGCAGTAGAGAGCTTTCGCAACTGTCAGAATCCGATTCCGATTCCGATTAGACACATAGATTAGGTTTCGGAATTGGACTTTTAGTTCTTACATTTCGCATTTGAAAATCCTATTCAGATTCAGAATCGAAACAGAACCGGAGGTAGGCAACAACTCCGAGAGCACGACAGGAAGGGCGTGGCTGTGCGCAAGCTGCGCGGTACAACACGCCCGACAGAATCTCAAGGAGAACCTGGTTTCTGCACTGACACGTTGAGTAACCCC